AACAATCAACAAGGTTACTTTATGGTCAGATTCAATCATAGCTCTACATTGGATTCACACACCTCCATATCGTTTGAAAACCTTTGTGGCTAATCGTGTAGCTGCTATCCAAGAGATAACAGCATCATTTAATTGGAGGCATGTAGCATCACACGATAATCCAGCTGATCTATTGTCGAGAGGTGCTTTTCCATCGCAGCTTATTAATCATACAATGTGGATTCATGGACCTTCATCCATGAATCAAACCAATTGATGGTTATCGGAAAACGAATCAAATTGGCCAACTTTTACTCCTACATTAGCTGAGATTCCAGAACAGCGAGCAGCCATCAACTTGAAGGTGGAAAGAAATTTCGAATTGTTGCAACGGTTCTCGTCCATTGTGGTGCTTCGCAGGGTTGTGGCATGGTGTTTTAGATTCATTAGTAATTGTCGCTCAAAATACAAGGTTCAAGGGAACTTAGTCAGCTCTGAATTAGATCATGCAATGTCTATTATAATCAAATTTGTTCAAGGTGAATCATTTTCACATGAAATACGTTTATTAGAAACAGGAAACAATCTTAAGGGTAATAGTAAACTCATATCATTGCGCCCATTTCTAGATTCTACTGGAATATTACGAGTTGGAGGTAGACTTAAGTATTCAGACTTAAGTTACGATCAAAAACATCAAATCATTCTACCAGAAAAGCACCATGTAACAGACTTGATTATACAGCATACTCATAAACTGCAACTACATGCAGGACCGCAAGCATACTCTGTATTGTATTCGACAAAAATTTTGGCCCATTAATGGGAAAAATCAAGTTAAAAGGATTATCCGTAAATGTGTAGCTTGTTTTAAGGCAAGACCGCGTTTGCTGGAATATACCATGGGCGATCTTCCAAGGGACCGGTTTGTGTGTTCCCGACCGTTTGCAAATTCTGGAGTCGATTATTGCGGCCCTTTTTTTGATAAAGGAAAAAATTCATCGCAACCGCGGTAAAATCAAAGTTTATGTTAGCGTTTTTATATGTTTATTATCTAAAGCAGTTCATTTAGAGTTAGTTAGCGATTTAACTACAGAGTCATTTCTAGCCACATTGTTACGTCCCGATTGGTTCACGATGCTTATGCTGCGGAAGAGACGCGTCGCGGGGAGAAGGGGGGACGCGAGCGCGGAGCGGGGCGCGCGGGGTGAAACCTCGGCTCCTCAGCTGATTCGACTGTTTAGTTTAAATTGGCAGGCTGCTGTCACCAGTGCCTACGAAAGGCACAATATTATGTCTTTATCTTCTAAATAGTAATCTCTGTAGCAAAGTTTTATTGACTATGTTTTCCTGAGTCTTGACGAAAATTATCTTTCTTTAAAATGCCCATTGTATCCTCTATATAAAAATTAAATTGAGAGATTTGAGGAAGCGTCAGAGTCTTGTACCATATAGAGATGGCATTCATGGTTCATCATATAGCTTCACTCATATACGTCTCTCTTTGGGGAAGATAGGAGGGGGTAATAGAAAAGAAGTGAAATTATTAGAAATGCAAAACAGAGGTCATCGACCATTTATAGTAATATATATATATTTATGGTTAGAGTATTGATTATGAAAATAGAATATTAATAAAACAATAAAAATGGTATAAATTAGTATAATAAGGTAAAGAAAATATAATAATATTTTAAAAGTAAGAGATATTTCATCTATATTTTAATTGTTGAAACCGGTATTCTGATATGTTTCTTTAATTTTTCCTACTCGTTATGAGCATAGGCCGAGTCGGCTTCCTCACCGGCGCCACGCAAACAGGCGGAGGGGTGCGGGGACGAGGCCCTGGTCGCGGGATCGATTTTATCGGCTCCTTCGCAGGTTGTTGTTCTTTCGCGGCCGGGTTCCTCGCGTTGTCCTGGGGTTCCGGGGGCCCAGTAGATAAAGGTCCCTCCCTGTGTATATTCTTTTATGACCTCCCGTATTCGGACCTTCGTACCACCCCTCTTACTCCTTATTCGCCTCTTTCTGAGCTTCTTGGGCATCTATTGAATTTAACGAAAATTCTGAAAGTGTGCCTCCTCGAAAGTAATTCCAGCATTTGAACTAACTCTAATCTGATCGTAGATGGTTACCGCTTCAAATTGTAAATTCGTTAATTTAAACGTTAGGCAGAAAATATTATAACCCGAATGTGAAATGGAAACTTTCTGAGCATAATGCAAAATATTCTAAGCGGTGGCATCAGTATTCTGAGAGTACGATTAAGTATTCTGGCAATTTAGATATGATTCTCGTTACAAGAATAACATTTATGGTCTCCGGTGAAGGAGAAAATATCTTGAATTGTAATTTTCGCGCGGCCAAGGTTTTGATGTCTTTAGTGATTATTGTTTTATTTGTAAGTCTAAATTTCGGTATTACCGATATAAAAGAAGATATTTTGCGGTATTATTGCTATACTAGAGATTTACGTTTAAGAATAATATGAAGCGTTCTAATTCTGAGTGTAAGTCTCAATGCACATACGAATGTTGTTAGAAATAATTTCTCTTTATAAGATAATAAAAATTCTCTAGTAGTTGAGAGTGCTTTGAATATATAATTTCCTGGATTTTAAAATTTGTTAAAGGTTCCTCAAGTTTGAGTGAAATATATGTCAAAGTGTAATGACTTTTAATAAGGAATATTCTAAGTGCGACATGAGAGAATTTATTTCAAGTATTCCTATCTTATATCTACTATGCAAAGGTAGTGAGAGTTAATACATTAACTTTTGAACGCCGAAAAGGCGCGGACAAAAGTTGGCCAAGTATAGGAAGGAGGTCAGATTGATTCCTGGACGCCAAAAGGCGCGGACAAGAATCGGCTGTGATATGATACTTTGCAGAAAGGAAGCCGCAGAAACGCCTTTCGGCGCGAGGTATAGTTACCTTGTCTTTGGCCGTTTTGTAATAGGAATAGGTACGCTCCGCTGGAATCGGCGCGTTTATATACAGACCGCTTAGTAGCGTCTCGCGGTAAAGGGATGTTATTTCCTTGACTGTCTTGTGTCCGTGTAAGGATCTTCTAGAAATTTCCTCAATTCTTAAATCGTTAATTTTTCCCTTAATTGTACAGAATTTTGAGGCGCGGGTGCGAGAGATCGATAGT